TTTTTTTTTTTTTTTTTTAATTAAACAAAGCAAGTTCCTATCTCATCTATATTAACATAGTATCTGTATTCCTAAAATATAAAGGATTTAGCTAATCCTTTTTTATTTCCCTCTGATCCTCCAGTACTCTTTTCCTTTTTAATCCTTCCGGCTTCATCACTTTCAAACTTGACCTGTATTTAATGCCAATATTTGCAGATAATTTGAAACCCAAGAGTTCCTTTGATTCTTCTCTGTCGTACGCATTGTCTGTACCCACTGACTGAGATAGTCTTAAATTATCTTTTATAATTTTCTTTTTTCTAAATAATAAGTAACACTTATTGACTATTCCCTATGTGTCAGGCAAGAAGCTAAGTGATGTACATGGATTTCCTGATAGTCCTCACAAAACTCTGATTATTTTCCCTATGTTACAGAGGAAACTGAGGCTTGGAGAAATTACATGAGTTGCTCAGTTACATTGTTAGCAAATGTTAGCAAGGATATTAACCTACAAGTGCTTGGCTCCAAGATGCTTCTATTATTACATGATAAGTACAGCATTCCCTAGACATGTTCATTTAGAAGAGTGAACTACTGTAAGTATGTTGAATAAACAAACTAAGATTTCAGTTTTGTAGAATTAGAGTCACGGGAGTTACTTTATGATGAGACTATATTTTTAAAGTTACATTTACTAAAGAAAAAAATTACTACCATTCTGATCAGATGTTACTTTTAAATTACATTTAATTTACATACATGTAATTAGTTACATTTAAATGATCATAAAGAGATCAAGATTATACTCACTGAAAAGTCATGGCTCCTGCTTCCAAGGTACATCTGGTAGGGGACTGTTCATTCAACTTTCGAAAGAGTTGCTTAGCCTGACTCTGATACTGCTGAAGGTCCCGGCCAGACTGAAAAAAGATACCTTCATTTAAGAATTTTCCACCAAAAGCAAGCCATATCGGTTAGTGAGAAGCACCATGATATTATGAAGACACGACATGAAAAAGGTTCTTCATCTACAGATTAATAGAATTCATTTTAAAATGTTTTAAAAGATTCATTACAAAAAAAAAAAAGTCTACTTCTAGACCAAAAGGAAGACGTAGCCCATAGTTCTTCAAGAAAATTACATTAGTTATTTACCAAGAAGCCAAAGAGTATACCTCAACTACATTTAAGTCACTCTTAGCTTTCAATCCAGGGCTCTTTCCACTACTCAGTCAGTGCCCTCCTCCTAACTCATTTCACTTGCACAGTTACTGGCATACAAGAGCACAGCACGCACTGTACTCAGGGGAAAATCCTGGGAACAACACACAGATGAATCTCATTTTTATGCTTGACAATCAAACAGCATCTTCCACAAACTGTTGCCATACAGCGCATTTACACAAAACTAAGTGTGTGCACTCATAATTGCAAATTGTTTTGAATATTTTAATTTCAATTAAGTAAAAATGAGAAGAGTAAGGAGAAAGACTGCAAAGTCAAATTTCCTTTCCTGCATAAATCTATTTTGGTTCCCAAAGTTTGGTTAGAAAGAGTTTAGATAGCAAGTCTGAACACGGAGAGACACTGTGTCGAATCTATTTGATTCCTGAGTTTCGATCATCAAATAACAGGAATTCAGGTAGCAAGGGATTGATCCAAAATATTATCCGAATCAAATCGGTTCCTGAGTTTGGATAGCAAAAGTCTGGAGAGTGAGGGATATATGCATGCAAAATTAAAGTAGTAACATTCAGATGACAGGATTATAGGCAGTATTTTTCTAAATCATTCTAAGTGATTTTACAATTTAAAGAAAAAATGCTTAATGTAGAGATTGCAGTGTCATTCCAAAAGGAGAAAATCATGTCACTAACCTACTATATTCAAAGGGGAATAGAAGTATGTGAAGAATGGGAAGCAAATATACATTAAATATTCATATATCAATATCATTCCTATGGTTCCACATATTGAAAACAAAAATCTTTTGCCATGTAATAGAAAGGAATTATTTTATTTTGGAATTATTTATTTTGGATTGAAATATAGAAAACAATCTTCCTTTGGCAGGTGTTTAATAATTAAATGTCTAAATAGAAAGTCTATATAGTCGTCCCTTGGTATCCTTGGAGGACTGGTTATAGGACCCTCGTGGATATCAAAATCTGAGGATGCTCAAGTCCCTCATATAAAATGGTACAGTATCTGCATATAACCTATGAACATCCCCTTATATGTATACTTTAAATCATCTCTACATTACTTATACTATCTAATACAATGTAAATGTTATGTAAATAGCTGTTATTATACTGTATTGTTTACCAAATAATGACAAGATGCAAGGCGAACAATACTCAAACCATGAGTGCTGGAGAGAGGCTGAGGATCTGTGAAAAGGTGGAGATTACAGGAGGGGATGGCTACACATCACTTCATTCGCATGGATTCAGCGTAGTACTCGGCATGTGGCAAATTCAAATTTTACTTTTTGGAACTTTCTTTTTTTCCTCGAATATTTTCGATCATGGTCCGTGGAAACCGCGGATGTGGAATCCACAGATACGAAGGTCCGGCTATACTAGGTTCTCTCAGATACTGGGCGTGAGGCCTAACTTTGAAAAAGTACAAAGTGAAATCTAAAATTCTAGATAGTGAAACACTGAACTAACAGTAAAAACAAGAGAACAATTGTAAAAGTGTGTAAGTGGCAGATGAGCAAATGGACAAGTATAGAATAGTAGGATTCTTACTTAAGGAGTCCCTGAGTGGCATAAATGGTTATGAATTCAGCTACTAACCGAAAGGTTGGTGATTCGAACCTACTCAGAGGTGCCTCAGAAAAAGGGCTAGCAATCTGTTTCCAAAATCACAGCCATGAAAACCCCATGGAGCACAGCTCTACTCTGACACACCGGGGGTCGCCATGAGTTGGAAATGACTCAACGGCAACTGTGTTTTTTGTTTGTTTGCTTTTTAAGTTATACTTAAAATGGTGAATTGGAAGTTTCAACATGGTTGGAGGTAAATAAGCATGAAGTGAACCTGTGAAGTTAGACAGAGGCCATTAGAAGTATAAATTTGTAGATTTATCTTGTTCAGCACTGCCCTTCTAGCAGTGATTTGTTATAATGCCATTCACTTGAGAAATATTTTTATATTAACATTTAGGTATGTATGTATGTGTGTGTTTAAATATACACACAATTTTATCAATCAAACACTTTATAATAGCTAATATTATAATATACATTAGTATGAATTTACTAAACAGTACTGTAACATGTTTTTGTAAGCTTCCAGTAAAGAAGAGTGAACACTATTATACACTTTCAACTAATAAGCGCTAGTGCACAGTACCCTCCTTTCCTAAATTTGAATGGCACTTGCCAATTTGTTTGTTTCACCAGTGCCATTATGTGATGTTCTGAAGAGATCTGACGCAAAACAGTAGATAAGAGGGACGCAAACAATGTTGAAAATGCAACTAAAGTGCCAAGAAAGAACATCAACATAGATCAGTGATTTTCAATCTTGGCTGAACACTAGAATCACCTCGGAATTTAAAAAAGCTACTCATGCCTAATCTCTACTCTCAAACCAATTTAATCAGTATCTCTGAAGGCGGGATTCTGACAGTGGTGTTTCTAACTAATCACAGCCACAGATGTTACATGTAAGTTTTTAGACTGCAGGTGAGCACCTTAAAGAGACTGGCTGAAGAAACAGACTGTAAAAACTGGCTGTCAGATAAAGGCTGGTACAAGTTCTTTGACTTTATAAGCACTGTAAACATCCCTGCAACCTGAGAGAAAGAGACTAACAACTGCATCAGCTGGAAGAAACTACAGCTAGCCAAAAGCATGCTATAATTGCAGGAATTTGCAAAGAACAAAGCAGTGATTGCCAATGTATAACACTGGGGACATATTTAAATAGTGATTATGGTATACAAACCAACATTTTACAGTTTGTTTCAGTTAGCATTACCATTCCTAGGAACACAATGCTGGCACAATCTTTCTAGAAGGCAACTTGGCAATATGTATCAGAAACTGTAACATTTTGCATACTTTACCCAAAAAATTGCACATCGTTGTAAGTATACATATACATCATATATGTTAATAATATAATTATAAATGTATATAAAAATAAAAACAAATGTTCACTAATAGAAGACTGGTTAAAAAACATGATACACATCCATATAATAGAATACTATGCAGCCATTAATATATTGTATAATACTTAATGACATGAGAAAATATTTATTATATACTCCAGTGAAAAAAAAATTAAGAGAAATAGTCTTAAAGTACTACTCATGATTTACTAAAACATGCGGGCATTGGTGGTCAGTAGTAGAACTCTCAAATTCTGTGTAGTAGACCTGGGTTTGATTGCTAGGCAATGTACCTCATGCACAGCCACCACCCAGCTGTCAGTGTGGAGGCTTGTGTGTTGTTCTGATGTCGAATAGGCTTCAGCGGAGCTTCAAGACTAAGATGGACTAGGAAGAAAGGCCTGGTAATCTATTTCTAAAAATCAGCCAATGGAAACCCTATGAATCACAGTGGTCCAACGTGCAATGAATCATGGGAATGGTGCAGGACCTGGTAGCATTTCATTCTGTTGTGCACAGGGCTGCCATGAGTTGGGGGTGGACTCAATGACCACTAAAAACAACAAATATATATACACAAAAATATATATGTATAGAAAGTTTAAGGCTATATATATCAGAATAGTTATAATTTGAATAGGAGTACAGGTAATCACCATTAACCTTTTGGTTCTTTTGCTGGTACATATTTACTGAACTTCCTGTAATAAGCATGAATTAATTTTGTAATGAGAAAAATTACTCACTCATCCATTCCTGTATATTGCGTATTTGCACCCAGAGTATTATGTGCAATTCTGGTCTGTGAACTTTAAGAAAGGCAAAATGGAATTAGAAAAGATTCTTCAGAAATAAGCAAATGAAATCAGTGAATTCTCACTTTCTGCCAGGCACTGTTCTAAACACTTTATATAATTTAACTCATTTAATTTTCAAAACTACCCTATGAGGTGATGGGATTATGCCCATTTTATGGATGAGAAGCTAATGTTGCTCAAAATGCTTTACATAAATAAACTTATTCAATCCTCACAACTTCCCTATCAGGTAATTAGAATTATTATGCCCATTTTATATTTGAGATTTTAAACTTCCCAAGGACTTGGGGCTAGGATTTGAACTCAGGTAGTCTGGCTCTGGAGCCCCTACTCCTAAGCACTATGCTATCCCCGCTGCTGTCGAGTTGACTCCGACTCATAGTGACCCTATAGGACAGATTAGAACTGCCCCATAGGGTTTCCAAGGCTGTAATCCTTACAGAGGCAGATTGCCACATCTTTCTTCTGAGGAGCGGCCAGTAGGTTAGAACCATTGACCTTTTGGTTAGCAGGCAAGCACTTAACCACTTCGCCACCAGACATCCTTAGCACTATGCTATACCACCTCTATAACTAAAATTGCTTTAGTGATAGTACACTATGTTCTACGTAATGCCTTACTATTGTAATATTAAATCTAATTCATAGGCAATGCTCAAGAAACCATGTGGCAGCTCTGATCTAGATCTCCCAAGAAAACATAATCAATGCTTTTCAGACAGACCTTTGGTTTACTTTCAAGATTAACGTCACAAAGGGCCCACAGTCAGCCAATCCACCTAAAAATAATTAGATATCCTGATTCTGTTTCCTACTTCACCTACAACAGACTTGATGAACTTTGTGTATGGCGTAATGATATCTGTTAGTAATCCAATAATGAAGGAGATGAAAATGATGGGACAAATTCTGAAACTAATTTGAGGTTATCCAACAGCATATTTAGGATCTGGCTTATACACACATATATATCACAAAAGGAGCAAAGAAGTAATTTGTCACACAGCCACAGTGCTTTTCATTGTTGTCACCTAAGACTGCTGAACAATTAATTGTATCAAACGTCATCTTTTGCCCTTACAAGAATGTGTAGCTAAGTTCTTATCAGTTTTAAATCCCTGTTGAACTCAGCTGGTCAAAGGCCAGCAGCACCAAGAACCAACCCTCTTCCTCTAAAAGGAATTAAGAGTAAGTTGATTAACCAAACCTCAACTACTGGGGAAGACAGGCAGTTTTTAACTGTGCAATGGACAACCTGCTTTCTTGGAGCTCCCTGCTGTTTGCTTGTTTAGATGTAACACCTGCTTCAACTCCAGTCTATCCTTCACAGAGCTGGGGCAAAATGAAAGAGAGGGGAATACAGTTCATTCTGAGGTGAAGCAGAAAGGTAGATGAAGAAAAACTGCAAACATCCTAAAAGAAGAAACACACCAGAAAGGAAGAAATAAATAGGACATACATTAGGGAGTCTAGGTTGGAGAAGAAAAGCTCATCTCTCTCTACACACTCTAGGCCTACATTTTTAGTTCAGTACAGAGGAAACACTGTATAAGATACTCTGTCTATATCATTTTGTAAATTTTACTCCCTACTGTAGTATCTGAACAACTGTTTATCACCAGTAATAAGGTAGCTTGTACAACAACTGCCACCTAGTAAAAAAAAAACCAAACCAAACCCAGTGCTGTCGAGTTGATTCAGACTCATAGCGACCCCAAAGGACAGAGTAGAACTGTCCCATAGGGTTTCTGAGGGGCGGCTGGTGGATTTGAACTGCAGTCCTTTCGTTAGCAGACATAGCTCATAACTACTGTGCCACCAGGGCTCTACCACCTAGTAAGTACCTAAAATATGATATCTATTATCAGTGTGAATAAATGAAGTATACTGAATTATTTGGTCTAGACGATTAAGACAATTAAGTATAAAGCTATTTGAACAAGATTTCCATTTCTTAAAGTTATTTTTGAACTCCTAAGAAGTAAATATGAAACCCTGGTGGCGAAGTGGTTAAGAGCTATGCCTGTAACCAAAATGTAGGCAGCTGGAATCCACCAAGTGCTCCTTGGAAACCCTATGGAGCAGTTCTACCCTGTCCTCTAGGGTCGCTATGAGTTGGAATCAACTCGACAGCAATGGGTTTGGTTATTTTTTTTTAAACAAGTAAATATAATCCCTGGGTGGTGCAAATAGTTAATGTGCTTGGCTGCTAATGGAAAAGCTGGCAGTTCAAGTCCACCCAGAGGCACCTTGAAAGAAAAGCCTGGCAATCTACTTCTGAAAAATCAGCGATTGAAAACCCTATGGAGCACAGTTCTACTCTGACACACATGGAATGGCCATGAGTTAGAGTCCACCGAACAGCAACTGGTATGTATGTATAAGAAGTAAATACATTATTGAAAACTTTTAGAACAAGATAGTACAGTGTAGCATTTAGGAACTAGGGCACTAGTCTAGAGTCAGACACATACTGATTAAAAACCAGGAGTTACTCTGCCCCCAGGTGACATCTGGCAATGTTTGGAAATATTTTTGGTCTTCATAATTGGTGGCAGTGGGGGGTACTACTAGCATTAGGGCATAAAGGCCAGAGATGCTGTTGAACATCCTACCGTGCAAAGGACAGTCCCCCACAGGAAAGAATAATCCATCCCAAAATGTCAATAATTCTGAAGTTAAGAAACCCTGACTAAAAATCCAGTTATGCTATTTATTAGCTGTGTGACTTAAGGCAACTGAACTATCTTCACTAAGTGTCAGAGCTTCTTTTCTGTAAACAGCAATAATAATAGTACCTATACTCGTGAATAAACCCTGGTGGTGTAGTGGTTAAGAGCTACGGCTGCTAACCAAAAGGTCGGCAGTTCAAATTCACCAGGCCCTCCTTGAAAACCCTATGGGGCAGTGCTACTCTGTCCTATAGGGTCTGCTATGAGTCGTAATCAACTCGACGGCATCAGGTTTGGATTTTATTTTCGGATACTCATGAATGAAATAATGCACTTTGCAGGCTTAGCATAGTGCTTAGTATGTGGTATAAACATAATTAAAAAGTTTTAGAACAATGTAGTACAGTGTAGCATTTAGGAACTATGGCTTCTTTAATATAATTAACATACTAATTATAATAGTAAAAATAATCTAGGATTAATATTTCTGAAGATATTAAAACTTTAGGAGAAACTTCATTATTCCAAATTAAAATTCCTAAAACACTATAAAATTACAATTACAAAAACTTTTTTGTATTTCTTTTCCTTGTCAGTTAAGCAAAGCAACCCATCTTGTAGAACAATGTCAAGTTTAGAATTCAATTAAGAAACGTACAATAATAAATCAATTAATTTTTCAGTACAGTACCAAAGCAGAGACTAGAGGCCTACTAATATTAAGCAGACTTTCAAATCCACTTTATTTATATTCTTTGCCCACATTAGAATTCAACGTAATAGTTGGAAAACTGACCAAATTTTTTTTTTTTTTTCTCCCTTGGGAAAACTATTTCTCAAACTACATATCCTTTAAGGAAAATTTCCCCAACCATCTCCCTCCTTCAAATCATGTTCCTAGCTTCATTTAAATAGTTCCATTCCTTCTGCAGAGTGGTCTGAGAAAATTATTTTTTTAAACAAATTAGAGGAGTAAGAGAAAAAACATCTCATGATAGAAAATTCAGAGCATGTTATATTTTTCACATTTTATTTCAATGACTAGACTTTGCTTTGTGCAATGAATAGAAAATATTTTGCTTAATCTAACCTGCAACTTCATATACTGTATCACCACTCTCCTAAAAGTGAAAGTAAACAAATTTCTAAATCATACCTAAAAAGGTATATAACTGAGAGTTCCTTACTACCAGATCTCACTGTCAGCTTAGATCTCATTTCTTTTGGGAAGACTTCCCTGATCTCCCAAAACCAACTTAGATGCCTTTTCCATATTCAACCACAGAACCCTCTTCCTCTTCCATAGCAGTTATAATACATTACAATTGTTTGTTAGTTATCTGGCTGTTCCATTAGACTGCAAGCTCCAGGAAGGTAGAGACTTGTGTTATCCAAATCCCTGTATTAACAGTAGGTCTGGCACATTTAACGTGCTCAGTCAGTATTTTTTGCATAAATACATAAATGAAAGTCCAAGAATGAAAAGTCCAAGAAAAGAAAGGGGCAAAAATTTTTCTAGAACTCCTTTTTTAAGCCACAGGGATTTTTAAAACTACTAAGGCCATATGAAAAAGTAAAATAAAACTGATCACTTAAACAAGTTATATATAAATTCCATTCTCATCCTCCCTCTTTCAGGTACTCCCAACTTTGCTCCAGAAACTTGTCTCATACCAGAAATTTTCCTTGTGATTCTAAGGGACAAAAGAGCTTCTTTTAAAGATATCTCGAGTTTTAAAAAATCAATTCAATAAATGTTTGAGCACCTACTAAGCATAAAGCTGCTGCTGTAAAAGTTATGGGGAACACAATGATTAAGCTCTGTCCTTTGTCCGCTAGGAAACTCAATTAATTGAAAGACGTTTTTCACATTTTATAATAAAATAGTAAAACACAAGTACAAAGCGTTAGAGGAATATAGCACAAAGGGGATAAATTCCAACACAAGGAATTTAGTAAGGGGAGATGAAAATTGGGCATAATCTTGAAAGAACCTAGTGTACTGAACTTCAACAGGTGCCTGTATTTGGCAATATTACCTCACCCACTTTCAAAAGACGTCAGAAGCTAGGTCAAGATCAGGTACTACAGTAAAAGGAGTTGAAAAACTTAGAAAGGAACTGATTTTTCCCAGGATGTGTCAGTCAGTAGCCTTACTAGCAGCAGAAAGTTAGAAGTCCTGAATTTTAACAAACTCCCTAAAGAGTTACAGTACACTGGTTGATCACAATCTGCCGAATCTATCCCTTTCCCACAGGGTTTCTCTAACAGAAACAGATAACACAAAAATCTACCTCCGCCCTCAGGCAAGCTTTCCTCTCACAGGCATTCTCTCCACCGCCAAAAGATAAAGAGCACTTCAGAGGCGCCGGGGGCGCCTGGGAGGAAATTCGGTGGCGAGAGCGAGGCGCGTGGACGGTGGCTAGGGGTTGCTGGGATTTAGTAGCAGGCTCACCTGTTCGTCCTCCTGCATAGAGGCGGCCAGGGGAAGCCCGTCCGCCACTCGGGCGATCATCGTTAGCAACACCATCTTCACAGACTACAGGGAACCAACGTTGGCCCAGACAACCGCAGGCGTCGTCCTCACTTCCTCCGCTGCGTTAACAGTTACAGCTCTACCTCAGTTCCCAAAGATCCAGTTACTTGCGTCTCTACTTCCCGCTGAGGTGGCCGGAAACAGTTCACGAACTTTCCACTACCGGTCCAATGAATTGGCTTCCGACCGAAAATGGCAACAACCGAAATACTAGTTCCGCTGTATCTCCTTCCACCGACATAAACTCCCAAGGCCCCGCCCAGTTTTCTGCATTTCGAGCTTCGAATTGGCCTTGCCCCTTGAGAAGGCGTGACACCGCGACAGAATTTTCTGTTTCCTGATACTGTAAGTTTTGGGAGAGGTCTGAGAAGGAGGGTAGGAGCTAATGGCTATTTAGAAAAAGGGTATATGAAGAGGGTGAAAATCAGATTATATGTTTTCGTATTTAATATATATTTCTAGGCAGAGATTTGTGTGTGTGTGTGTGTGTGTGTATGTTTATGCTGTATCTCTAGACCCTTGAACAGTTTTTGGTAAGCGGTCACTAAATATTTTTTTGTATATGAATAAATGAATAAGTACAGGACCTTAGAGATCGCCTGGATCACTCATCCTTCCAAAAGCGGGATTCTCTGCAACATCGTTTATGATCGGTATCCGCATAGCCTTGCTAGAACTTTCAGTAACCCGGCATTCACTCCCTATTGGAGCCACATCGAGACAATTTCATTTGAGCAGGTGTTCCCATCTCTCTGTGTTGTGCTGTCCCACCTCTAAAATGGGAATAAAAAATACTATCTAACCTCTCAGGGTTTTTGTGAATATTAGATGACAAAATGGAGGTGCAATGGTTTTGTAAACTAAAAAAATTATAGATAAGTTGTTTTTATTATTGCTTATATTAATAACTACTAAGGAGCCCTGGGGAGTCCCGTTGGTGCTGTGGTTAAGAGCTTGGCTTCCAACCAAAAGGTCGGCAGTTGGAATCCACCAGCCGCTCCTTAGAAAGTCTATGGGACAGTTCTACTCTGTCCTATAGGGTTGCTATGAGTTGGAAGTGACTCAATGGCAATGAGTTTTAGAAGGAGCCCTGGTGGTGCAATGAAGTGCTCTGCTTCTAACTGAAAGGTTGTAAATACCTAAACAGGAGAAAAGACGTGGTGAGCTGCTCACTTAAAGATTTCAGCCTAGCAAACCCTATAGGGCAGTTCTACTCTGTCCTTATAGGGTCACTATGAGTTGGAATTTACTTTATGGCACACTACAACAGCAACAATAACTGCTGCTGTTTACTGTGATGGCAGTTAATGCTTGCATTAATAGGGACAATGCTAAGTACCTTATGGATATTAGTCAATTTAACCAAACAACACAATAAGGTTGTTGTGTTAGGTTCCCACTTTGTAGTTGGGGAGAAAGCTTCAGAGAGTAATTTTTCCAAGGTTATACAGCTAGAAGTGATAGGGACAGAATTTGACCCTAGGTTCAACTCTAAAGTCTATGCTTTTAATCCTGATGCTATTCTGTTTTAACTTCAGCCCATAGTTTAAAGAGCTCATGTTTTTGTTAACCTTTTCACTGTCCTACTGCTGTAAGGAAACAATTGGTAGTATCTCACAAGGGGAACACCCAATAGACTTGGTGATTGAATCCAGGTAAAAGATGAAGTACTGGGATGGAAAGATACAAAGAAACTGGTGGTGTTACCGCAGTAATGCAGATTGGAGCTGCCTGCTGCAATAGCAAATTCTGAGACAGGTGAGGTGAGCAGCAAGATGTTTATTATATATCGATATATAGGAGACAGAGGGGAATAGATTCCTCCAAAAAACCCGTCTCCCCCACTGGAAATCGGCTGAAGTCTTTTATAGGGACAGGATTATGGATCTTTTGTGGTAGTTTCCCCTTGAGGTGATGAGTCTTAGATGAGTTAACCTACTGGTATTCTTAGAGGTTATCTGGTGACATCCTGCTTTTTCTTGTCACAAGATGGGTGCTTTGTTTGGTTTTTCATTCTTAGATCATTATCAGTTGTTTTCTACCCTCCAGGGAGGAACATCGGTTAGTCTTAAAAGAGACTGGAACTGGAAGGAAAAATCATGAGACAATGTGGCGGTTAGCAATGGGGAGTAAATAATAGCGAGCCAGGCCTATGCAGCCTCTTCCAGTGGTGCTATTAACAAAGACAGTGAGAAAGTGCAATGGAAGACAATGCTTGTGTAAATGGGAGTTTTAGCAGAATCCCACATTTGGAACAGGCCATAGGTAAAACTTGCCCTAACTTCTTTCCACTCAACAAGGACATGTCTTCTACCACAGTCTCAAATGATAGCCATCCAGTCTCTACTGGAACAATCCCAGTAATGGGGAATTAATACAGACATTTTAATTAAGAATGTGTCTGTGGCTCTAGCTACCTCACATAATCCTCTTTTTAAGTAAAATATGGAGCCATACGCACAATGTATTGATGTTACCCAGTGACTTGTGACCAGTGTGACTTAGAACATTCATTTTAGCTGTGAACCTCAGACGGGTGGTAGGAGAGAGGGGTGTGAGAAAGAAAACAGAAAAGGATGTGTAACAGACACTCTTTGGTGGCAACTGCTCAGTTTACAAGGAATTTTCCTTCCCTGGGAATTGCCTCCCCACTTCCTTTAACAAAGGTGGCTGCTGGCAACCATGCTTATACCATGTGACACTGTTCCCCTGACCACAGCTGATTGGACCAGAGATAAACATCTGATCCAAGCATGGCCAATGACATTGTTCTCTCTCTGCAATTTGGAATTGGAACTGAGAGACTGCTGGACAGTTTCTGAATACTACATGTTTTCTAGGGAAGGGTAGATGACTTTTTTATTGCTACATGGATTAGAGAAGCAGAGAGAAAAGAATATAGCAGGTGTGCACAGAGAAGCAAATCGGAGCAAGAGTCCCAGCTTTTTTTTTCCCCCAGTTTCTAATTCTAGGCTCTTCTCAAGGCCAAAATACATTCCCACCCTTGGGCTGTATGAGACGTGGTTGTTTCTTTATAAGTCCCCACCCCCTTAGCTACTTTGTGTTAGTTTCTATTAGTTACAACTAAAAAAATAAATTTAATAGAGGAATTCAGAGTCGCCTTAGACCAACTTTTTCTTGGAACAACTTTCATACTTGCACCTCTTACTTTTTTTCTTAGCCACACTAAATGATTCTGACACCCTTCTCCAGGGAGAGGACAGCGGTCTTCTTAGGTTATTGAGCAGCCATCAGGAGAAGGCCAGAGTTGTTCTTTTCTGAAACCAAGGATTCCACTGCCCAACCCTCAGACCTCAGAAACTCAGGAATCTGAGTCCCTTTTGCTTCTGACTTGATCAGCATCATCTCCTTCACACCTAGGTGTTGCCTTAGAGCCCTGCCCTTTGTTCCTTTGAGCAATACAGGACAGTGTAATGATACCTAACAACTGCGATTGGTACATGGAAGGCCCTCGATTATTTTACATTGAATGAAAAAGATGAAAAGAGCATCAACAAACATTTATTCAGAACTTTAGAATTTATAAAATCCATATTTATCCCTTGTCTGAAGCCTGACAACAACCTTGTGAGGTGGGTAAAACCTCAGAAACCTGGAGCTTGTAGACTCTGAAGCTTGTATTGGGGGGAGGGGAGGAGGAAACCAAAGCCTTGACTATCATAGCTACAGCTGCCACCGAATTCCTAAAACTTCTCAGACAAATCAAAATCTAAATCAATTTATGTTAAACTGTTAAAAACAGGATGAAACTTTCCACTGAAGCAGTCAGAAAATTGCAGAGGTTTTACAAGTGAGATCAAACAGCGAGAGGCTTGTGTCCATTCATTCACTAAACAATTTTGAGTGCCTGATTATATGGCAGGCATTGAGCTAGGTAACAAAGATGAATAAGTAACAGTCGTAGCAACCTGTAGTCCGCATGTTGGTGTTGGTGTGGGGTGCCGTGGAGTCGATTTCGACTCATAGTGACCCCATGTGACAGAGTAAAACTGCCCCATAGGGTTTACTAGGCTGTAATCTTTATGGGAGCACTTTGCCAGGTCTTCCACCCGTGGAGCTACTAGGTGGGTTCCACCGACCTTTCCATTAGTCCCTATGTACCCCCAGATTAGACACCGTCGCCTAGGAGAGGTCTGCAAGTAAATGGCAGTTCCTATTTGAATTACATGATTATAGAAGTGGAAAAAAATTTTTTTTTTCTCGGAAGGAAGTGACGCTCTCAGCAGACAAAATAGTAAATAGCCACTATATCTGGACTGGAAACCCTGGTGGCATAGTGGTTAAGAGCTAAGGCTGCTAACCAAAAGGTCGGCAGTTGGAATCCACCAGCCTTCTTAGAAACCCTATGAGGCGGTTCTACTCTGTTCTATAGGGTCACTATGAGTCGGAATCGACGGCAAGGGGTTTGGTTTTATATCTGGACTGACACGGAGCCGCAGTGTTAACAGCTCGCCTGCTAAGCGAAAGTTGGGCGGTTTGAACCCACGAGCCCTCAGCTGGAGAAAAATGTGGCAATTCTGCTTCGGTAAAGATTACAGCCTACAAAACTCTACCGGGTAGTTCTACTCTGCCCTATAGGGTTGCTATGAAACTAAATCCACTCCACCGCAGTGGGTTTGATTTTGGGTTTTTTTAAATATCTGGATTTAGGAACCCTGGTGGCGCAGTGGTTAATTAAGCTTTCTGCTGCTAACCGAGAGGTCGGCGGTTCAAATCCACCAGCCCCTGTGCAGGCGAAAGATCTGGCAGATGTGGCAGTCTGCTTGGTAAACATTTACAACCTTGGAACCCTGTAGGCAGTTCTGCTCTGTCCTGTAGGTTCGCTATGAGTCGAAATTGACTCGGCGGCAAGGGGTTTGGTTTTTTTTATGTCTGCACTGATATCCAGTCCAGTATCGTCTTACCGGTTATTACAAAATAGAAATACTTTCTTACTGATCGGTAAATTGCTGCCCTAAGTGTCACCATATCACTATCCCCGACCGCGAACTCTTTAAGATCCTGCCCCCGCAGGTCAGTCAGCTTCCGATCGGATTGGCCAATTTCAATGCCAGTCACTTCCCAAAGCTCCGCCTTCCGGGAATGGCCATTGGCTAGCTCCAGGACTCCGGAACCGCCTCGCCTTCCACCCCGGCGCCAGCC